CACTAACAGTATTCACTAACAGCTATTCACTCTCCCAGCCAGATCGTTATTCACTCCTTTGTCTGTCCAACTGTTATCTCTCTCTTTGGGCTCTATCCCCACCTATCATTTATTCCTTACCCCCTCCCCTCACCCTATCTTCTGCATATAAACCAACATTTTCCTAGCTACCATCTGTTCTCAGGAAGGTACACTGGACCTGAAACATTAACTGATTTCTCTTCACAGATGCTGCCAGACTTGCTGAGCTTTTCCAGCAACTTCTGTTTCTGATATGGAGTATTGTGTTCAGTTCTGGGCACCTTATTCAAGGAAGGATATTAAAGCCCTGGAGAGATTGCAAAGGAGATTTGCTAGATTAATACCAGAAATGAAGGGTTTTAGATACAGGGAAATATTAGAGAAATTGGGCTTATTCTCCTTGTAACGGAGAAGATTAAGAGGTGATCTTACTGAGGTGTTCAAATTTATGAACAATTTTGACAGGGTAACGAAGAATAATCTGTTTCCACTAGTTGGTACGTCAGAAACTCGGGGTCATAATTTCACAACTGTCAGCACGAGAGCTAGGAGTGAAATGAGGAGAAACTTCTTTACTCAAGAGAGTTATTAGGATTTGGAATGCACTACCTGGGAGAGTGGTGGAGGGGGATTATATATGAGATTTCAAAAGTGAGTTGAATATATATTTGAAAGTGATGAATTGAGAGGGCTACGAAGCTAAGGCTGGAGAATGAGGCGAGCTGGGTAGCTCGTTCAGGAGCTGGTAAGGATGGAATGCAGCAAATGGCTTCCTTCTCTATCATAAAATTCAACGTTTCTATAGTTTTACGATCTTGAAAACTTCATTTAAACCACCCTTTAACATGCTAAATTTCAGAGACAACACCCATAATTTGTGAAACCAGTGGTAGTGTATTGGTAATATCACTGAATAAGCAAACCCTATACTTGGACTAATTATTTGGATATAAGGTCTCAGTAATGGTGACCATGAAACTATCATTGGTAGCTTTAAAAACCTTTCTGGCTCACAATTGTCCTGTAGGGGAGAAAATTTGCTGTCCTGGCTTGGTCTGGCCTACATGATTTCAGACCCACATCAATCTGGTTGACCTTAGCTGCTTTTTGAAATGGCCTAGCAAGCCACTTAATAGGAATGGATGAGAAATGCTGGCTTTCCCAATGATGCTCATATCCGTAATGAATCAAAGAAGACAACCACTCTCATAATTGAGTCTTTGGAATTCAGTTATCATCTGGTAAATCTATGATGCACAACCTCCAATCCCCAAATATCCTTCCTATGATATGATGCTAAGGACTGCTCACATATTCCAGGCATAATTTGACTAGAGTTTGCAGCGCAATTTCTACTCCCTTATATTCTATTACTCTTGATGGGAGACCAGAATTCCATGAATATAATGGACTGTTTTCTGTACCAGCTCATGATATTTTAATGATCTGTGCATTTAGTCTTCAGACACTCCTAAATCTCTTTGCCCTCCACTGTTAATAGCTTTTTACCTTTTTAGGCAGTTTGCAGTTCTACACTTTCTAGGTGCAACATGATTTGTCGTATCTGTCTATAATGACATTAGTAGCTATACATATCAGGAAAGGACTGATCTCTTTACCCTTGATAAAATTTTGACAATATGTCATCTGAGGTCCTGGCATTAGGGTTTATCTAGGATATAGGCCACAGAAGCAGGCCATTTAGCTCAATCAGTCCATACTGGTGTTTATGCTTCCCTTGAGTCCCCTCCCATTTTTCCTCATCTCTATCTTCTATCATGAGCATCTAATCCTTTCTCTCACAAATGGTTACCTAGTTTCCTCTTAAATGCATCAAACTATTTGCTTCAACGTGATAGCAAGTCCTGCATACTCACCACTTTTTGTTCAAGTTTGTTTTTCCGTAATCTCTGGCATTTCTTGATTCTTTTTACTTGATATCCTACATAATGCTTCTTTCCCACAAGATAAAACATTCTCTCTGTGTCAACTCTATCAAAGCCAAAGCATTTCACAATATTTAAAAAAGTCTTAATTATGTCACTTCTCGGCCTAGTTTTAACAAAGGTACAGACATCAGTCTCTTTCTGATATGTATAGCCACACTTTCCTGCTATCATTCTTGTAAATCTCTCTGCCTTCTCTCCAGTGCTTCTACACCCTTTTTAGAATATTACTGTCAGAATTGCACTGTGTACTCGAAGTATGATCCAGCCACAAGGTTTGATACAGGTTTAGCATAAATTTCCCACTTTTCAATTCTATCCTTCTTGAAATAAAGCCAAGTGCTTGGGGTGTTTTTTTTTGTTAATGAGTCTGTTAACCTTTAGCAAAATTTTTAGTGACTGGTAAATTGCTACTCCAAGATTCCAAAGTATCTTTACCCTCCGGATTTGCAATCCTCTAAGTGAGTGTGTCTCCTGCACTTATGTTGCAGAAAATGCAGCATAAATTTTCTAGCCTTTCCTGTTCCACTCTTCCCATCTTTATCCAAATTGCTCCACTTATCTGTTGCCTTGAACTTTCTATTTAGATCTTTAAATTTCCTTTCACCTGATCTCCCTCCCTCTTTTAGTTTAAAGCTCTATTTATATTTCAAGTTTAAAAACTTCCCTCAGTCGCTGATGCCATCACCGTTTAAGTGGAACCCAATCCATCGACACTTTTCTCTTTTTGCTAACCAGCGGCAGCTGGTTGGATGGTCGGTTTGTGATTCAGAGCTATGCCTACAGCTGGGGTTCAGTTCCTGCACTGGCTAAGGTTACCATGAAGGATTCAGCTTCCCAATCTCTCCCTCACTTGATGATTGGTGACCTTTAAGTTAAACCACCACCAGTCATCTTTCTCTCTCTCTGTCTCGAATGAGAGACTGTCCCCTATGGTCCAGTAGGACTATGGTGACTTTATGTTTTATTTCTCATGAATCAACACCCTTCTTCATACACCATCCTTTGAATCACACATTCAACAAATGATTGCCACCATGTCAATTTACACATGGCTCAGGTAGTAATCTGGAAGTTATCACCCATGGGATTCTACTTATTAATTTTGAATCCATTTCTTCAAATCCCTCTGGAGGACCTCATTTTTATTTCAGCCATCTGATGGTTCTGACATGGACTATAACAACTGGATCCTTCATCTCCAGTTCTTCTCTGTCACACGGAGATATTCCAAGTGCTGAGTGCTGCAACTAACAGAACTTTTAGGATTTCTGGTCTCAGCTGAACAGGACAGTATCTATTCTCCTAACAATGATATATATCACCACATTCCCTTCTTCCCCCCACTTGATTGGTTTCCTGCACCATGGTACGATGGTTACTTTAGCCGACTTCCCTGCAGTCCTGATTCGGATCCATTCAGGTAGTTCACCTGTAGGATATATTCCAGGACTGAGGCTTCTCCACTAATTAAACAGGGTTTTTAATAACTGCTTGACTTGCAATCACACCCTCCAACCAAGTGTCCAAGCAACTTTTCCCTCTCTGATGCAACACGAGATCTGCTTTATACTGTGCTTTTCATGCCCTCCAGACGTTCCAAGGGACTGTACAGATAATGCAGTATTCTTGAAGTGAAGTCTCTGTTGTAATGCAGGAAATGCCAAACACATATTTGTGGACAGCAAATGCACATAAATAGTACAATAATGACCATATAATCTGCTTTACCATGTTGATTATGAGATAAAAATTGGCCATAAGGCCAGAGTTTACTGGTCTGCTGTTCTTTGAAATACTGTCATGGAATACTTTCCATCCAATAGGCTAATAGGGGCCTAATAGAGGCCTCAATTTAACATCTTTTCCAAAAAGATATCATGCCCAATAGTGCCACACTGTACTGGAGCATCTGTATTAATTTTTGTGCTCAAGTTCTGCAGTAGGGGACTTGAACTTGAAACTTTGTCAGTCAAAGGCAAGTGTGGCACCAACTGAATGACAGCTAAAGATGACAAAGGGAGATTTCTTCTTTCAGGCGGTTGTTAATCTTTAGATGTTGACTCATTGTCTCTATTCAAAGTTGAATTAGATTTTGTTAAAGAGTTATTGGAACAGGCAGAAAAGTGGAGTTAAGGCCACAATGAGGTTAGCCATGATCTTACTGAATGCCAGGACAGGCTCAAGAGGTCAAATAGCCTAATCATGTGTCAAAAGATGTGAAGCTGGAAAAGCACAACAGGTCAGATAGCATTGGAGGAGTAGGAAAGTCAACATTTCGGGCTGAGACTCTTCATCAGGACCCGAAACACTGACTTTCCTGCTCAGTTGCTGTCTGGCCTGCTGTGCTTTTCCAGCTTCACATCTATTGATTCTGGCTTCCATCATCTGCAGTCCTTTCTGTCTCCTAGCCTAATCATGTCCTTATTTCTTATGTTCCTCAAGTACAGCTTGGTATAAATGTTGTCTGGGTTGAGGTTCATTTCAGAAATTCCACAGGCTGTACTGATGGCACACTGCCTATATCTGTCAAAGCTGTTGACAAATGAAGCATTTCCCCTCAAGTAGCAAACATCAACAGATTTGCATCAAAAAAGCTACAGTGTGCGAAAGAACGTTCAGCATGAATAGGAAAGCATCACTGGAGTTTACAGTGCTGTGCTTAATGGCCACAAGTACACTAATTCAAGAACTTGTGATACTTCCTCCCACACAATTCCACCATAATAAATGAGTATGTTAACAGGAATTTTGAAGTGAGAATCATTACCAAGTTCCAATTTGAAAATATAGGTGACAAAAGTAGAGGTAAATCTTTGAGCAGGCAGCTACACTTCATTGAAATGAGTTTCTGACTTTCATTTCAGACTTGAAGCATGGAATTCTTGAATTTTTGTTGAAAAGTAAACCACAAATTAAGGTTATTTGACATAAATTGGAAAACACTGCAAATTAATTGATATCTGAAAGAAAAACATAGCTTGATTTCACATTTGTTAAACATGAAAAAAATGGAAAACAATAGTATCTTACTCTTTCCTTGAGAGTGTTTCTAAGTTCAGTGCAAGCTGTTGCCAGGATACTTATCTCAGCTTGTTCTTCTGCACGCTTAATTTTTAACTGCTTCAACTGCAAAAAAAGAATCAAAGGTGCATGTATTAGAACAACTTTTTGAAATCTAAGGATTAAAGTATTTACATATTGTTTGCTTTCAATTAGTTTTAATTAATTTTAGTTAAATAGAATAAGTGCACAGTGCAACACAAAAGGAAATCATGCAGACACTTTTTTTACACTTTTCCAGCTGTCCTGCAAATCTACAATATTTAACTGAGTCTCTTTTAAAAGTTTTATTTAATCTTCCTCCATTCCCAACAACCAATTTATCATTAATATAAGACAAAGAACTATGGATGCTGGAGATCTGAAACAAACAAAACAAAGATTGCTGCAGAAACTCATCAGGACTAGCAGCATCTATGAAGAGAGTGTTGTTGGAACTGCACCCATCCAGGCAGACGAGGAGTAATCAGATTTCATCCACATGCATTGGGAGGAACAGGAGCGGCAAACTTACATGTGGGAAGAATGGCCCTCATTGCGCAGAAACCAGATGAACACAGTGAATTGTGAGACTGTCTGCCTGCATTCATGGGCAGGTCAATAGTTGTCCTGAAGAGCAAGGTCAGCACCATTACCGTCTGTTGGAGAAGCACACATACCTGCACTCCATCACCCCTCCATCAACACCAAAGGCTTGGTGACAGGGTGCAGGAAACCTAGTTCACACTGCACTTGCGTTACTTTCCCACCTAAGCCTCACCATGTGAGGTGGCCATGATACGTTTGATCATTCTCTGCACCCCCTCCCCTTGAAACCAGTGTGCTCCTGTCCATGTACGACCACCCCGTCATGCGTACCCCCTACCAAGCCATGATTTACCAGATTTCGCCATTGCAAATTCTGATTCATCAATGCACTGCTAGTTAAAATTTCCCACTGAATCCAGTTTGACTTTAGTATATGTTGTTTAATCTCTGCAATCATTCATTCTAACAGTTCACAGCTACCTCAAGACATCTATTACTCAACTCTAACTGTAGCCTTAAATCCTTTCCTATTTATTAAGTCTACTCATTAAGCTTCCATCTCCAATCTTTTGGCTATTAATGTTTTCATCACTGGGAACGGTTCAAGAGTGTTTGGTTCATCAATCTTTTCATGAATTTGAACAGCTCTTTCAGGTATTCTCTTGACTTCTGCTCTACAGAGAAAAACCCCAATTTCTCCTGTCTCTCCAGTGAACTAAAGTTTTTCATCCCTTGTGCCATTCTAATAAATCGCCCCTTCAACTTTTCAAATGCTTTGATTTTTTTCAGAAAGTATGGTGTCCAAATTTGACACAATACTCCAGCTGGTGTTTATCAGTATTTTATAAAGGTTTAGTGTAACTGCCTTGCCTATTCACACTAAACGTCCATTTATAAAGCTAAGAATATCATATGCTTTTTTTAAACAATTTGATGAATTTATCCTTCCACCTTCAAAGATTTGTGCAGGACTCAGCACCCCTTATGGAATTTTCACTGCATAAGTAATGTACAGAAATGGGTGTCGATGTTAGAAATGGAGTTAATCTGTTGTCACCATCTGGATTCTAGTTTGTTTGTGTCTGAGATCAGGTTGATATGGACTGCAGGAAATATTTTTAGTAAACAATATGTTTTATTGAACATAGTAACTTCAAACTATGCACTGGATAATAATTCATACAAGGCTTCAAGATATAACCTCCTCCCAGTAGTGCTGGTAGTCATATAATCTTACATCATTGATGATGTGACTGTGTTATTTATAACATTAATTCTTTACACTGCAGATTAAACAAGTGTTAGTGAGCAAGGCGCCTGTCATAAATCCCACATGATTTTTCTTTCCATATAAAAAAAGTCAGTTATCTAACAGCATCTGATCTAATATCCCACTTCTTTTTGAAGTTTGCACTGCATCTCTCACGATATACAGGACTGTAGCAGGAGTAGGTCCACGAAAATTCCTGGCCTATAATTCATACAAAATGCTTGAGCAGGCATGTTGCTTTTTAAAGTACACATACTTGCTATGTATGCTATCTAGGTGTGTTTCAAATCCAGATACAGATACTGGGACTGTGCATTATGAAACGATGGTAAGGCTACCCATCAGATGGGCACATTCAGAAAATCAGCCCAAGTAAAACCAAATTATAAACTTACATTCTCTGCTTTGATATTTTTCTGTTGTTCCAAATCAACAGATTCATTAATAAGTTGGTTGTACAGTTCTTCTGCTTCTCGATGTTGTTTTTGAATTTTGTCCTCCTGTGTAGTATATACATCAAACAGATCCTTGGCATCGATCAAGTCTTTGCTATTAAGTAGAAACAAATACATTAAAAAAGTAGTTTCGAATCCAGTTTATATCATATTATTTCTTTCATTGGAATAGTTTATATATCATCAAACATAAGATCGTATAAAAATAACCAAACACAACAGACAATTGGAATTGGGATAAGGGCTGGGAAAAGATGGTATGTTCAGGATAACTGTAATTACTGGAATATCACAGGGATCAGTGCTGGGGCCACAATTATTTACAAATGTATTAATGATCTGAATGAAAAAAGTGAATGTAATGTCACCAGGTTTATAGATGACACAAAAATAGGTATGAAAGCAAGTGGTGAGGTTAACACAAAGCATCTAAAGAGACTTAAAGACAGGTGAGTGAGTGAGAAAAATTGCAGATGGAATATAATGTGGGAAAATGTGAGGTTTTTCATTTTGGCTGGAAGAACAGAGAAACTGCATGTTGTTTAAATAGAGAGAGAAGCTATAAGCTGCAGCACAGAGGAATTTAGGGTCCTTACAGCTGAATTACAAATAGCTAGCATACAGATTCAGCAGGTAGTAGGGAAGGTAAATGTTGGCCTTTAGTTCCTAGGGAATGGAGTATAAAAGTAGGGTGTTCCTGGATAATTTTTCATCTCTTTGGTAATCAAGAATCTATCTATCGTTGCCTTAAAAATGTTTAAAGATTCTGCATTCACTTTTGTGGAAGGGAATTCTAAAGCCTCGACCCTCTTAGGAATTTATTTTTTCTTCATCTCTGTCTTAAATGGGCAACTCCTTATTTTTAAATCACTACCCTTACTTCCAGATTCCCCCACAAGAGGAAACATACTTTGCAAATCCACCCAGTCAAGTCTGCTCGTGACCTTATATGTTCAACTAAATCAGCTCTGATTCTTCCAAAGTCCAGAGGATAAAGGTTCTTGGCTGTCTAACTGTTCCTCATAAGGCAATCTGCTCATTCCAGGCATTTATCTCGTAAACTTTCTCTGAACTGCTCGCAATGCATTACTTTCCTTCCGTAGTACTCCAGTTGCAGTCTCACCAATGTCCTGTATAACTGAAGTATAACCTTCCTACTCTTGCATTCAATTCCCCTCACGATATAACATAACATTTTATTAGCTTTCCCAATTACTTGCTGCACCTTCATACTAATTTTCCATGATTAATGCACTAGGATACTTAAATTTATCTCCATCTCAGCAACCTCTCACCATTTAGATACATGCTTCCTTTTTTATTCTTTCTGGTAAAATGAGCAATTTCACATTTTCCCACATTGTATTTCTTTTCCCAGATCTTTGTCTACTCAATCTATCTGTATCCCTTTGAGGGTTTCTTATGTCCTCTTCACAACTCGCTTTCCTCTCTTTAAGTCATCAACAAATTTAGCCTCCAGAGCCTTGGCCCCTTCATACAAGTCGATCATATAAACTGTAAAGAGTTGAGGCCCTAGCACCAATAGCTGTGGCACATCACTTGTGACATCCTGCCAACTTGAAAAAGATCCAGTCTCTGCATTCTGTTTGCCAACTAATCTTCTATACATGCCAATGTTACCCCTCACAGCACCATGAGCTTTTATTTTCCGCAATAATCTTTGATATGGTGCTTTATGAAATGCCTTCTGGAAATCTAAGTACAATACATCCACTGGTACCCCTTTGTCTACAAAACAAGTTACTTCTTAAAATAACTCCAATAAATTAGCTAAACATGATTTCTCTTTGACAAAACTATGCTGGCTCTGCCTGATTACCTTGAACTTACCAAGTGCCCTGTTATTAATGTTTTTAATAATAGCTTCTAACACTTTTTCTATGACATGTTAGCTACTTCTTTTATGACCCTAGCATGAAATCCATCAGGACCTCAGAACTTCTCAATTCATAGTTCCAACAATTTATTTAGTACTACTTCCATAGTGTTTGTAATTTTATTGAGTTACTCCATCTCTTTCAATTGCTGATTTACAATTATTTCCGGGATGTGACTTGTATCCTCTCTAATGAGGACTGTGAAAAATATCTGTTCAATTTGTTTGCCATCTCTTTATCCTCCATTACTAATTCCTCAGACTCATTTTCTATAGGACCCACACTTATTAATGTTTTCTTAAGATCTGAAAAGAACTTTCCCTATTTGCTTTTATATTTTTGACTAACTTTCTCTTATAATCTAGTTTAATCTCCTTATTAATCTTTGAATAATTTGTTGCTGTTATTTTGTATATTCTGTTCAACCTACTGACCTGCTACCTATTATTGCACATTGAAATGTCTTTCTTGGAGTTTGATACTGTCTCTGACTTTTTTTAGTTAATCATGGATGGCAGGTCCATCCCTTTCTTACTTGTTGGAATGTACCTATTCCGTGCTTTCTGGAATATCCCCTTAAATGTTTGCCACCGCACCTCTATTCACTTATCCCTTAACCTAAGTTGACACTTCATTTTCATTATGTCTAATTTCACACCCTCATAATTGCCCTTGTTTTAATTCAAAAAGTGGTCATAAACCCATACTTTTCATCCTTTAACTGTATGTAAAATAAAATTATATTCTGGTCGCTGCTAACAAGAGAAGCTTTCACTATGAGGTCAGTAATTAGTCACTTTTCATTGATCAATTCACCAGTGTCAGCACAGCTTCATGAAGGGAAAGTCATGTTTGACTAACTTGCTGGAGTTCTTCGAGATGTAAGCAGCAAAGTGGATAATGGGGATCCTGTGGATGTGGTGTACCTGGACTTCCAGAAGGCATTTGACAAGGTGCTGCATAAAAGCTGATCCAGAAGGTTAGATCCCACAGGGTTAAGGGTAGAATATTAGCTTGGTTAGAGGATTGATTGACTGACAGAAGGCAGGAGGTTGGGATAAATGGGTCCTTCTCTGGTCGGCGAAATGTAATTAATGGAGTTCCATGGTGATCAGTTCTCGGACCTCAACTATTTACAATCTAAATAAATGATGTGCAAGCAGTAAGAGTATAGCATAGCGAAGTTTGAGGATATTACTATAATAGGTGGAAAAGCAGGCAGTGACAAGGAGATAAAGAGTTGATGGATGGATATTGATGGGCTATCAGAATAGGCCAGAATCTGGCAGATTGAGTTTAATGTGGATAAATGCGAGGATGTCCATTTTGGTTGGGAAAAAAAAATACCTAAATGGAAAGCAGATTCAAAGTGCATCAATGAGGAGTGATCTGGGCATCATTGTGTATCAATGGCAGAAAGCGGAGGTGCAACACATAACAGAAAAGGCAAAGGGAATTCTGTCATTTATTGCAAATAGACTGCATTATAAAAATAAAGAAGTGTTGTTACAACTATATAAGGCATTGGTGGGACTACAGCTAGAATATTGTGTCTAGTTTTAGACTTCTTACTTGACAAAGGATGAGGTGGCACTGAAGGCAGTTCAGAGGAGGTTCATTGGATTGATTCCAAGGATGAAATGGCCATCATATGAGGAGCAGTTGAAAAGATTGACCTTGTACTCGTTAGAGTTCAGAAGAATGAGGGGGGATCTGATTGAGGTACATAAAAGGCTAAAGGGGGAAGTTGAAAAGATGTTCCCACTTGTGCGACAGTCTGGAGGAGGTTGGTTCAAAACTGAGATGAGGAGAAGCTACTTCTCTCAGAGGGTAGTTAATCTGTGGAACTCACTGCCCCAGAGGGCAAAGGGGACAGAATCACTCAACAGATTCAAGAAAGAAACAGATATGGTTCTGATAAAGGGGGGGAATAAAAGGCTATGGGGAGCAGGCAGGAAAGTGGAGCTAAGACCACGATAAGATCAGCGATTATCATGTTAAATGGCACAGTGGACTCGAAGGGCTGAATTGCCTATTCCTGCTCCTAATTCCTAAGTTCCTATGTCAAAATTAGGTACGGTAAAGTCTGTTCTTTGGTTGGTGCTATAATGTGTTAGTCTAAGAACGTGTCCTGAAAATATTCAATAAATTGCTCATTCTAAGAGTACTTTTTCTAATCTTATTTTTCCAGTCTATATGCAGGTTAAATTCCCCGTGATAATCACTGTCCCTTTTGATAATCTCCTATTCTCCCTTGATACCCTGACCTACCATGTGGTTACTGGTAGGGGGCCTGTACATAACTCTCACAGATGGCCTGTTGTCTTTATCATTCCTCATAGCTACCCACACTGCTTCTATATCATGGTTACCTGAATTTATTCCATTCTTCTCCTTTGTGCTAATATCATCTTTAATTAACAGAGCCACTCCTCCACTCTTTCCTAGCTTGCTGTCATTCCTAAATATCATATACTTCAATATTCAGGTCCCAACCTAGGTCATCCTGCAGCCACTACACCATATTCATTTATCACAATTTTTAGTGCTACTTCATTTGTTTTGTTTCAAATTCGGCATGTCCAAAAGGAATCTTACCAATTTTTATAGACGCACCATAGACAGCATCCTATCTAGATGCATCAAAGCGTGGTATGGCAACTGCTCTGCCCAAAACCGCATGAAACAACAAAGAGTCATGAACACAGTCCTGTCCATCAAGCAAAATAGCCTTCCTTTGATTGACTCCATCTACACTTCCCGCTGCCTTGGGAAAGTAACCAACATAATCAAAGATCCCTCCCATCCCAGTTATACTTTCTTCCAATCTCTTCCATTGGGCAGGAGGTATAAAAGTTTGAATACATGTACAAATAGATTCAAGAATAGTTTCTTCCCTGCTGTCATTAGACTTTTGAACGGACCTCTTAAGTGTTAATTCTGATCTCTCTCTCAGCACCTTCTCTGCAGCTATAAGACTGCATTCTGCACTCTATTCTGCTATCCTGAGGCACTTTGTATGGTACGATCCGCCTGTACAACATGCAGAACAACACTGTTTACTGTATCTTGGTACATGGGACAATATTAAATCAAACTTATACTCAAATTCTTCATGCATTGAAATACAGCGCCTTACATTTAGTTCTTGTATCATATTTGTAACTTCTAGTCTTAACTGCTGGTTTGCTCTTAGATCTGCATTCTGTCCCTTATGATCATCAAAAGACCAGAAAACATAGAAGTAAGTCATTCAGCCCTCTGAGTCTGCTCCGCTAGGAGATCATGGCTGATCTGATGATCCTCAACAACACTTTTCTGCCATTTCCTATAATCCTTGATTCCCTCACTGATTAAAAATCTGTCTATCCCTGCCTTGAATATACCTAATGTTACAGCCCTCTGTGATAAAGAATTTCTCAAATTCACTACACTCCAAGAAAAGAAATTCCTCCTCATTTCTCTCTTAAATAAGCACCTTCTTATTATGAGGTTATTCCTTCTTGTACTACAAGGGGAAACAATCTTTCCGCATGTACCCTGTGAAGTCCTTAAGAATCTTTGATGTTTCAAAAGGTCGCCTCTCATTCTTCTAAATTCCAATGAGTACAGACCCAACCTGCTCAACTACTTCTCATAATTCAGTCCCTCCACATACCTGGTGTCAGCCCAGTGAACTTTCTCTGGACTGCCTCCATTGCCAGTATATCTTTCCTTGGATAAGGGACCCAAAAATGTTCACAGTATTCAGGCTGTGGCCTGACTAATGCTTTCTATAGTTTTAGAAAATCCTCCCTGCTTTAATATGCAATTCCATTTGAAATAAAGGCCAGCAATCCATTTGCATGAACATTGATACTAGCTTTTTGTGTTTCATGGACGAGGATTACTAAATCCCTCAGTAATGTAGCTTTCTGCAATCTTTCTCCATCTAAATTATATTCAGTTCCTCTATTTGTCCTTCCAATGTTCCAAACCTACACTTTCCCATGGTATTGCATCTGCTAAGTTTTAGCCTACACACTTAACCTGCCTATATTCCTCTGCAGACAGTCTGTCATCTTCTTTACTGGTCTTTCCATCCATTTTTGTGTCATCCACAACTTGGCTATAGTGCCCATCCAAGTTATGAATATATGTTATAAATAATCACTGACCAATACTGATTGCTGTGGTATAGCATCCTGAAAATAACACCCTCCTGTCTTATCTGAACTCTGTTAGTTAGCCAAACCTCTATTTGTGCTAATATATTACCACCAATACCATGGGTTCTTATCTTATTAAGTAGCCGAATGTGTAGTATCCTATCAAAACCTTCTGAAAATCCAGATATATTACATCCACAACTTCCTCTTTCTCTATCTGCCTATTACTTCCTCAAAAAATTCTAGTAAACTTATTGGGGATGATTTCCTCTTCATGAAGCCATGTTGACTCTGATTGATCATATTATGCATTTGTAGATGATCTACTTTTACATTCATTATAATAGAATCTAACATTTTCCAATCACTTACACTCAGTTAACAGGCTGACAGTTATCCATTTTATGTCTCCGTCCCTTTTAAATAAAGATATTGCATTGGCAGTATTTAAATCCTCTGACTTTATCTGAATCTTTAGATTCCTGGAAGATTACTACCAGTGCACCCACTATCTCTGCAACTACTCCCTTTAATATCTTAGGATGCATCCCATAGGTCTGTCATTGTCTGTTTATCATTTCCAACATTAATTCCCAGCTATCTCAAAGCTCAAAAATCAAGCGTTGAACGGCTGAATGTGGTGCCTAAGTTGGCTTGAAAAACAGGCATGTTATGTAGTGAGGCCAGTGGATTGCCACTGCTGACTTTGTGGACGAAGTGTTGAGAGGGATGGTGCCATGGAACTGCAGGGATATTTTTCTGAAAAAGCAATTACATGATGGCTGGTACAAGTGTTCAGCTGCAGTTGACAGGTACCCACTCAGATTTACGTCAGGAATTTGAGTTACTTGGTTTATCGTTGGAGAGGAGGAAAATTGAAAGTGGCATATAGTTAAGGCGAATTGGGTTTTTGAGATGCAAATATATGGAAATAAAGTAATAAGATTCAAGCCATTTTATGTTTGAATAGAAATCCAGAAAATTTTCCTCAACATCAAGGATCAGATTTTACCTTTTCACTGCATTTCCCCAACTTTCTCACTATAACTCCCAACATATTAGGAAGGCGTACATATTGCTCAGAGTTTAATTTTGAACATGGAGGAAACACTTGGAACTTAAAATAAAATTCTACTTTTTGGGAAGTGAATTATCAGTAAATAACTACGCTTCTGCAGTGTTTTAGAATTTCAAGGTAAATATTACTTAAGTTCTTTAAATAAAGATTACCAAAATATTTTTCTTACTGGAGATCTGCTATTTTGCTTTCCATCATCTGAAGTTCGTCATTCATCAACTTTTGTTGCAACTCTGCTTTCGCACTGGTATCATCAAATTCCTGCTGTGCTTCATTTAAGTCCAAATTAGCATTGTTAAAGATTTCAGCCATCTAAAAGCAAAAAAAAGCTTAGTGAAATAAAATTCAGATCTTCTATGGTAAACAAAAGCTTCTTAACTTTTGAAGAAAATCAAACTTACATACATAAGTAAGAAATCATACTGATTCCTCTGGGGTGAAATAACTTTCCACACACTTGAATGAGTGCACTTCCAACAACATTCATTAAGTTCTACACTAATCAGGACAAAGCAGCCTATACAGGGGCAGTGACAGCCTAGTGGTATTATCACTGGACTGTTAATCCAGAGGCCCCAGTAACATTCCAGGGACCTGGGTTCGAATCCTGCCATGGCAGATAATGGAATTTGAATTCAATAAATATCTGGAATTAGGAGTCTAATACTGACCGTGAAAAATCTCTACTGTTGGAAAAACCCATCTGGTTCACTAATGTCCTTTAGGGAGGGAAACTACCATCCTTACCTGGCCTGGCCTACATGTGACTCCAAACCCACAGCAATGTGTTTGACACGTAACTGCCCTCTGGGCAATTAGGGATGGGCAGTAAATGCTGGGCTAGTCAGCATCACCCTCATCCTGTGATTGAATTTAAAAAAAATTGACAGGCATCTCAACCACCACCTTGTATCCTTACATCGTCAATGCAGAGGCAGCACTGTGTACCATATACAAGGTACAATGCACAATGCATCAACAGACCAAGCTTCCTTCAATAGCACCTTTCAAATCCACAACCCCTGTCACTTAAGAACAGCAAAGTGACATTGAGGGCAAAGATCAGCCATGATCTTATGGAATAGTGGAGCAAGCTTAAGCAGCCTAGGTGACAGGGGTTATCCATCTTCCACATACTTCATGGCTGTCCAGAAACCATATACCCATACACAACAGACCAAGAGCAAATCATAATGTCACAAGAAAACTGTAGAATACACCACTGATATTCCAAAGTACCATTGCTTTTTCTTGGAATGAGGGATAAAGACAGAAATCATGTACCAGGGTGCTGCTCCTAGTCCAGGACCCCAGCTCACAACATTCCCGCAGCTGAGCCGAGCATAGAGACCTCCCAAGAACACCAAGCCCCGGTTACCGGGCCACTATATACCTCCCTGTCCCAGATTTTGCCTGGCCTAATCTGGAAGAACCCTGTAGTGTTTGGGTGAGCACGTTTGTTGCAGTGTACTGTGCGCTGCACGCTGTGGCAACTACGAAGGCATAGCCACTATATATGAGCTCATCAACTATAGGATAAGGCTATCCCTGAATTTTTTTCCTTGTATCAATCTTCACCTGCATCCCCTTCTACAGTTCAACCCTATCTCCATTTGAATCAGCCCCTGAAAAATAAAACAATTTCACATTTCATTTATACTGCATTTTCAAAATATTTACTGCGCAGCTTTTGATTCTGACATATTTCTGAAGCTGCTGATTTGCTCAACTGAACCCTCATGTTCACCTTTAATGCCCTAATCCACATTAATTTATTTCTTTCACCCTGCCCATTCCCCTCGCTTGACCTCATTTACGCTGAAGTAAAAAGGACATAGACTCGAAAATATTCAGAGGACAACTATTTCAATTATTCAACACCAGATCTTGTTAGACTACGTTTTTAAAACACATTTCATTCAATGAGGGTATTTCTTGCAAGGCCATCATTTATTTCTCATCCCCAATTGCCCTTGAAAATGTGGAATAATCCATCTTCTCGAACCGTTGCATTCCATGTAGTGTAGGCACACCTACAGTCCTGTTAGAAAGGAGTTCCAGGATTTTGATCCAACTACAGAGAAGGAATGGTGAGAAAGTTGCAAGTCGGGGTGCTGTATAGCTTGGTCTCAAAGAATAATATATTATAAATCATTACAACATCAATGACTAAACATACACAGTCCTCTGGGGTAAAGAATTCTAAAGATTCATAACTCTCTGTGTGGAAAAATTATTTCTCATCTAGGACCAGAATGACCAAACTATTATCCTGAGACTGTGATCCCCGCCTTGTAGAATCTCCAGCCAGGAGAAACATGTTCCCACCATCTATCCATTAGAGTCCTCTAAGAAATTTATACATTTCAATGAGATCACCTCTTAATCTTCAAATTCCAGTGAATTTAAGTCCTTTGTATTCAACCTCTCCTCATGGTTAAGCATTTCATCCCAGGAAAGAATCCAATGAACCACTGTTCTACATCTCAATCAAACATTTCTGTTCTCTGATACAGAAACCAAAATTGTACACAGTATTCCGAACAAAAACACAAATTGCTGGAAAAGCTCAGCAGATGTGGCAGCATCTGTGGAGAGAAACCAGAGTTAATGTTTTGGGCCACATGAACCTTCCTCAGAAAAGAACTTACTCAGTTTTTTAAAAAAAGCTTTCGGTTTTACACAGCATTTCAAATATGGTTTTTCCAAAGTCTTATCAAATTGCAGCCGTACCTTTCATTCTTGCACTAGAAGCTGTTGCAACAAAGGCTAGCATTCCATTTGCCTCCCTAAATTTTTGCTGTGCCTAAACATTAACTTCCCATAATTTGCATACATACACGACATAATGCCTCTGTATACCAACATTAATTAGCCTCTTAATAGTTTAACGTAAGCTTTTAAACTAAGAAATAAGGTGCTTCAGCACCAATTTCCTGTAAACTATTCAAACTTTAATCAAGTATCGGAAAGCTCTAAAACTGCATACAATCGTACCAACAGCCATTTAATCTCTTTAATGCAGGTTGTTTGGGCATGGGGGTGAGTGTTGGATTATCATTTTTTTAATCATATTGAGCAGTATGAAGTTAAGACACAGCACAGGACTAGAATGTGGAGTTTGACAACGGAAGAATCGGAGTTAAATCAGCAACACACCCACATTATATCATAATCTTGTTTCAGAGATATAAATACGGGGAGAGGGGGAGGCGGATAGAAGATGGATAGAGGAGAAGGTAGGTGGAGAGGAGACAGACAGGTCAAAGAGGCGGGGATGGAGCCAGTAAAGGTGAGCGTAGATGGGGAGGTAGGGAGGAGATAGGTCAATCCAGGAAGGACAGACAGGTCAAGGGGGCAGGATGAGGTTAGTAGGTAGGAGATGGGGGTGGGGCTTGAGGTGGGAGGAGGGGATAGGTGGGAGGAAGGACAGGTTAGGGAGGCGGGGACGAGCTGGGCTGGTTTTGGGATGCGGTAGGGAGAGGGGAGATTTTGAAGCTTGTGAAGTCCACATTGATACCATTGGGCTGCAGGGTTCGCAAGCGGAATATGAGTTGCTGTTCCTGCAACCTTCGGGTAGCATTGTTGTGGCACTGCAGGAGGCCCAGGATGGACATGTCGTCTGAGGAATGGGAGGGGGAGTTGAAATGGTTCGCGACTGGGAGGTGCAGTTGTTTAGTGAGAACCGAGCGTAGGTGTTCTGCAAAGCGGTCCCCAAGCCTCTGCTTGGTTTCCCCGATGTAGAGGAAGCCACAAAGGGAACAGCGGATGCAATATACCACATTAGCAGATGTGCAGGTGAACATCTGCTTGATGTGGAAAGTCTGCTTGGGGCCTGGGATGGGGGTGAGGGGGGAGGCGTAGGGGCAGGTGTAGCACTTCCTGCAGTTGCAGGGAAAAGTACCGGGTGTGGTGGGGCTGGAGGGGAGTGTGGAGTGGACAAGGGAGTCACGGAGAGAGTGGTCCCTCCGGAAAGCAGATAGAGGTGGGGAGGGAAAAATGTCTTTGGTGGTGGGGTCGGATTGCAGATGGCGGAAGTGTCGGAGGATGATGCGTTGGATTCGGAGGTTGGTGGGGCGGTATGTGAGGACGAGGGGGATTCTGTTTTGGTTGTTATTGCGGGGAAGGGGTGTGAGGGATGAGTTGCAGGAAATGCGGGAGACATGGTCGAGGGCGTTCTCGACCACTGAGGGGTGGGGGGGGATGTTGCGGTTCTTGAAAAACGAGGACATCTGAGATGTATGGGAGTGGAATGCCTCATCCTGGGAGCAGATGCGGCGGAGGCGAAGGAATTGGGAATAGGGGATGGCATTTTTGCAGGAAGGTGGGTGGGAGGTGGTGTATTCTAGGTAGCTGTGGTAGTCGGTGGGCTTGAAATGGATATCGGTTTCCAGGTGGTTGCCAGAGATGGAGACAGAGAGGTCCAGGAAGGAGAGAGAGGTATTAGAGATGGTCCATGTGAACTTAAGGTTGGGGTGGAAGGTGTTGGTGAAGTGGATGAACTGTTCGAGCTCCTCGTGGGAGCACGAGGCGGCGCCGATACAGTCATCAATGTAGCAGAGGAAGAGGTGGGGTTTAGGGCCAGTGTAGGTACGGAAGAGGGATTGTTCCACTTAACCTACAAAGAGGCAGGCATAGCTCGGGCCCATGCGTGTACCCATGGCCACCCCCTTTGTCTGTAGGAAGTGGGAAAAATTGAAAGAGAAGCTGTTGAGGGTGAGGACGAGTTTGGCTAAGCAGATGAGGGTGTCAGTGGAGGGGGACTGATCGGGCCTGCGGGACAGGGAGAAGCGGAGGGCCTTTAGGCCATCTGTATGGGGAATGCAGGTGTATAGGGACTGGACATCCATGGTAAAGATGAGATGTTGGGGACCGGGGAATTGGAAGTTCTGGAGGAGGTGGAGAGTGTGGGTGGTGTCATGGACGTAGGTAGGGAGTTCCTGGACTGAGGGGGAGAAAATGGAGTCGAGACAGGTGGAGATAAGTTCGGTGGAGCAGCAGCAGGCGGAGACAATGGGTCGACCAGGGCAGTCAGGTTTCTGGATTTTGGGAAGGAGATAGAAACGGGCAATGCGGGGTTGGGGAATGATGACGTTGGAGGCTGTGGGTGGGAGGTCACCTGAGGTGATGAGGTTGTGGATAGTTCGGGAGATCATGATTTGGTGGCCGGGGGTGGGGTCATGATCAAGGGGGCAGTAGGAGGAGGTGTCGGAGAGTTGGCGCCTGGCCTCGGCGATGTAGAGGTCAGTGCGCCATACGACAACTGCGCCTCCCTTGTCCACAGGCTTTATGGTGAGGTTGGGATTGGAGCG